ATAAGTTTTGATATTGACTCTGTGCTTGACTCTGCGCGATTTATGCGTGTGAACTATAGCCGAACCGAACTGATGAGAATAGGAGCAGATTTGCCACGAAATATAGCAGAAATCAGCAACAAACTCAAAACTACGCTCGACAGAATGCAGATCTTAAAGTCATCTACCTGGAAGCTGCAGCAGAGGCATTCTAGCAGGCAGAAGAGGAAGCGCTGCTCCCGGCTTAAGAGGAGAGGATGCCGGGCGGGGGTTATGGTGAGGCTACGAGCTAACGCTAAAGCCGGTAAACTCCCCATGCCGTCTCTCTTTCTGTCGAATGTCCGCTCGTTGGACAACAAGGTGGATTTACTTCGTCTGAGAGCGGGCGCCTCAGAAGAGATGAAGAAGTGTGCGGTGCTTTTCTTCACGGAAATGTGGATTACAAGTGAAACGCCGGATACAGTCTTCCAGCTGGATGACAGACTTTTTTTTCGAGCGGACCGCTGCAACGAGCTAACGGGGAAATCACTGGGAGGCGGAGTGTGTATTTACGTGAGTAAAAGTTGGTGCACGAACTGTACTGTTGTAAATAGCTCTTGCTCGAAGGCTTTGGAGCAAATAACAGTGAAATGTCGGCCGCATTATCTACCCCGCGAGTTCATGGTGACTTTCATCACTGTCGTTTACATTCCTCCGGACGCTAATGCTAATGAATCACTGCAGGAGCTTCATGATATCATCAGCTCGCTGCAGAGCAAATACCCCGAGGCTCTTTACGTGGTAGCTGGAGACTTTAACCACGTGAATCTAAAGGACTGTCTCCCAAGCTTTAATCAACATGTGACAATTCCAACACGTGGAGACAAGACGCTGGACCGTGTTTACACGAACGTAAAAATGCATACATAGCTGAACCCCGCCCCCACCTAGGACTGTCAGACCACATCTCAATCTTCCTGACTCCTGCTTACATGCCCCCGCTGAGACGCTCCAGACCGGTACAAAAGAAAGTTAAATGCTGGATCCAGGACAGTGGCCCCATACTGAGAGATTGTTTTGACCGAACAGATTGGCAGGTTTTCAGAGAAGCTGCTGAAAATGGAGGTTCACTTGATCTTGACCAATACACATCCTCAGTTCTGGGTTACATTAGTACATGTACTGACACCGTCTCCACTATCAGATATGTTAAAAGCTACCCAAACAGAAAACCTTGGCTGAATGCAGAGGTGTGCACCCTGCTGGAAGCCAGGAACACTGCCTTCAGGTCTGGAAGCTCAGAGGAACTGAGTAGGACAAGAAAAGAGCTGGTTGCTGGTATTAAGAGGGCCAAGGCTACATATGCACAGAGGATCGAGGGTCAATTCATCTCACAAGACCCTTGGAGCATGTGGAGGGGCATTAAGTGCATAACAGATTATAAAGGAAGGAGCGAACAATGCCCCAAAGACCCATCTCTGCCTGATGCCCTCAACAAGTTCTATGCACGCTTTGAAGACCCGAACAGACCACCCAGCACCAGACTCACCTCACCACCGAATGAAGAGCATCTCAGCGTGACCTCAGCCGAAGTAAGGAGTACTTTCAGGAGGATTAATCCGCACAAAGCAACTGGCCCAGAAAACATCCCTGGGAAAGTGTTGAAGGAATGTGCTGATCAGCTCTGCGAGGTGCTGGCAGACATCTTTAACACCTCACTTACCCTGGAGACAATTCCCACCTGCCTGAAGACTGCCACCATCATCCCAGTCCCAAAAAGCTCTACAGTGACTGGTCGGAATGACTATCGGCCAGTGGCCCTCACCCGGATAGTTGCTAAATGCTTCGAAAAACTGGTCATGACTCACATCAAAACAACCATCAACATCAACGAGGACCCTCACCAGTACGCATACTGTGAGAACCGATCAACAGAGGATGCCATCTCCTCTGTGGTCCACACTGCACTCAACCACCTGGAGCAGAAAAACTCTTACGTCCGTATGCTCTTTGTGGACTTCACATCCGCCTTCAACACCATGATCCCCCAAATCCTGATGGACAAACTATCCACACTAGGACTAAGCCCCTCCATTTGAAACTGGGTACTAGACTTCTTAACAAACAGACCACAGTTAGTGAGGATCCACAACTTCTCCTCCTCCACCATAACACTTAGCACTGGCTCTCCTCAGGGATGTGTGTTGAGCCCCCTCCTGTTTACTCTGCTCACTTATGATTGTGCAGCTACCCATCCAGGTTGTCACATTGTAAAGTTTGCAGACGATACAGCGGTGGTGGGATGCATCACAAACAATGATGAGTCCAGCTACAGGCAAGAGGTGGAACACCTGGAGAGCTGGTGCAAAGACAATAACCTTCACATCAATGTGAAGAAGACAAAGGAGATGATTGTGGACTTCAGAAGGAACAAACACACCTACACCCCCCTGAACATAAGAGGATCTGCGGTGGAAGTGGTCACCAGCTACAAGTACTTGGGTGTACACATGAATGTTAACCTCAGCTGGAGCAACAACACCACCAGCCTGATCAAGAAAGCTCATCAGAGACTCTACTTCCTCAGACGGCTGAGGCGAGCTGGTCTGGGAAGCTCAGTCCTCACCTCCTTCTACAGGTGTGCAGTGGAGAGCATCCTGTGCTCCAGAATCAACGTGTGGCATGGCGGCTGCACAGCTGCAGAAAGAAAAGCTTTGCAGAGAGTGGTGAAGGCTGCACAGAAGTCTGTCGGAGTCAACCTCCCCACCATCACAGACATCTACACCTCTAGATGCAGGAAGAGGGCTACCTGCATCATGAAGGACCTCACTCACCCAGCACACACTTTTTGCCCCACTCCCCTCAGGAAGGAGGTTGAGGAGCATTAAGTGTAGAACCACTAGACTGAGGAACAGCTTCTACCCTGAGGCTGTTAGACTCATGAATCTCTAACTAGAATAATCACTGTGAAAAATCACATCATGTTGATGCTGATCTGTTTCATGTTGCTGCTGATCTGTTTCAATGTTGATGTGTTCATGCGTGCTCATCTGCTCACAGACTTATGTTCATGTTTGTGCTGATGTTCAATGTTTTTATGTTATGAGTGCTTAGTGTATATTTAGTTGATGTTTTTCTTAGTTCATATCTTAGATGTTATTACTGTTTTTCTTATAAATTTTATTGTTGGATGTAACTGGGACCCTGTGTACATAATTTCGCTCCACCACATGTACCACATGAGGTGCGAATGACAATAAAGAAACTCTGACTCTGACTGTGACTCTGATAACCCATGTCCAGGCAGGGGACATGGAGCTCCTTGATTTTATCTTTCCATATGAGTCTTTGGGATCACTCTTTGTTTGGCTTGTCACTTAGGACCAATTAGCCTTGGAAGGCTCTACGAGGGGCAATTGTCCTCCTAGGATCTTTCAGGAACACAAAATTCCTCCACCAAGATAAGTTTGCAATTCAAGGAGTGCACTAACAACAGTTAAAGTAAATGGCAGACAACGGAGTGTTTTTTTGTTACTGACATTGTTACAGTGAGTAGGAGCAAACCAACAACATCCTTGGTCTGAAGGAGCATCCCTGTATTCACCAGTTTGGATGTAATTGTGTTCATGGTCCTGGGTTGCCAGATAAACATGATTACATTTTTTTACCCACTCCTTTTTTGTGCACTTGTTCACTAAACAAAACACACACGTCATCTCACAATAACCTCACTTAGCACTTAAGACATTTTGGGTCAAAATACAATCATTTTCAAGCAACAGTACAATACTTCCATCATTTCTTATCTAGCGACCCTGCCTGGAATGGCAACTACAGTGTTCCCACGTAAACACATATTTTTCTTGTTTATTCCCCATAATAAACATTAAAAAAACACTAGTGTTTCCAGAAATTGTTGTCGTGTAAACGGAGCCTGAGAATGATAAAATAAAAGGGTTGTTTATACAAAGCATATAGAATGTGAACAGGCGAAAGAGAAACTTGTAAAGTATCTTGCAGACTCTGGAAGGGTTAAAAAGGCTTTTTGTAACTGTGAACTATTTAACAATATTCTGGCTGCTCCTCCATACAATAGCTAGCTTTATAATGTTTCAGTGACTGTTAAAAGAGGAGCAAGGTCCTTTTGTTATTTACTGCTCTCATAAATACAGTATGCTTAGCTTAATATTTTTCATTCATTCAACCTTTATTTAGACAGGTTAATCCCATTGAGCCTCAAGGACTCATTTACAAGAGAGACCTGAATATGGGGACATAGTACTGGCAAAGGGGGAGGGAGTGCTATGTAGTACCTTCATATTCTTCTGTCTGCACTTTCAAATGCAGTAGTCTTTTTCCTCCTATAGCAGCAGTTATTTAGCATTAGGTATTAGGCAGTACAGTTTTAGTGTTTTGTACAGTAATATCCAAAGTAACTGTATCCAATTTAGCTGAAGTTGGATGAATTTTGAGAATGAAGTCTTAAGGTCAGTGGTGTATTTCTCTTAAATGAGCTCAGTTTCCAGCTGGAATTTTCTTCCAGTACTGTCTCTGGTTTGATTTAACGATTTGTTCCCCTCTTCTTTTATTATAGACTCACACCATTTTTTCCCTGCTGGGCCTCGACCATGCCTACGTCACCAGCATTGGACGCCTCATTGGGGTGGTTTCCCTCAAGGAGGTAAGAAGTCTTACCGTAAATGTTGTTTTTTGTTTTCTTTTATTTAGCATATAGCATGTACATACAGTGCTATGTATATACAGTATAGGGACAAGGGGCAGATATTATAAGAACTCATTCTTCTTCTGCTGCCTTTCATTTTATTTCTGTGATTGTATATATTTTTTCTTTTCTTTAAATTGTATTATATTTGTTGTTTGGATGAAATGAAATGAATAAATAAAACATACATACATACATACATACATATAGCATCATTATGTTCCATTTTTAATCACTGAAGAGCTGCCTTTCTTTCTGAATATCTAACATAATATTTTAAATGTCATTTATACAAACAGCATATTGCTTTTATTAATTATATTAAACTGCTGTCACCACTGCTCTCACACACACAGACATTTCAGTCATCTTCAGTGATTTGCCTTCCCTCTGTCTGTGATGAACAGTGACAGGGAAAAAAAAAGGTTTCTAAATATTTCTCTCATCTATTGTCTGTTCTTTGCCATCATTCCTCTCCTTCCAACGCTCCTGCCTCACAAACAACTGAAAACCCTTTCTGAATTGTTCGGGAAGCGGAAAGATGATTGTTGCTAAGTGCAGTGCTGCATTCAAGTCCCTGACATTTGGATTTTTTTTTTTTTATAAAATAAAGGCCATCCTCTACAAAAGACGAGCTGGCGTATTGGAGCCTCTCTGGTCTGAATGATAAAGATATCTGTGAACATTGTTGCAGTGCTATGTTTACCAGGCACAGTAGATTATATTTTATTCACTGCTGCCACAGAATGTGATTTACTGAAATAATCAAGTGTGGTCAGCTCTAACAGGGCATGCTTTAAAGGTAGTATTTCATTGTGCTGAGACTGTTGGGGTGGGGGTTGGAAAGCTAATAAACAACATTTTTATTATCAGTATTCATTGGCTCTAAAACCTTAAAACATTCAGGAGTGGACCAGCTTTGAAGTCCTGCGATTATCAAGCTCTTTGTTTGGCTGTAATACAAATGACATGAGAGAAAAAGTTCTTGCAGATATGTTGTCCTTCATGAAGTTTTCAGCCCTCACAATCAGAACACCTTGTCAATATGCAGTCGTAATTGACGTGAATAACCACTCTTGCTGTGCATGCAAAGTAAGAATCAGAATCAGAATAAGCTTTATTGTCATTTCAGTTAAGTACAGCGAAATTACGTTCCGTACAGCCGTCAAAAGATGGATGGAAGTGTACAGGGGCTGCAACTTCTTAGAAGTGCTGCCCTTATTGCTTAGATAGAAAAAGGGAAGAAACATAAGGAGAGAGTGGTTTCAAAAAATAGATCTGTCACACTGTGTCCTTAGCAGGGCACGGTTTAAGGTATTAAAAAAATTTCCCACAGCAAGCAACATAGACAGACACAATACATGCGTGGACGACAAGACGGTGAGATTTGTCCATGAGCACTTCCAGATAGTTTCCATAGTCCTGATAAGATGTTGCAATGTCTTTCAGCCGGTACAGCTCTGATAAGCTTTCACAGAGTTCTCGGGGTGTGTGTGTGTGTGGGGGGGGGGGGGGGGGGGACAGAGCAGAGCTTCTTTATTTACATATCCACCAGGAACAACTTGAGATAAGTTGGCCTTCCAAGGCTGAGGAGCAGGGAGGCCAGATTCAGTAAAACAAGCCTTACTGTAACGGCACCCTGTAAAAGCAATAAAATCAACAAATGAAAATGTAAACAAAGCTATGAGCCATTAATGTGCAGATCACACAGTTGGCGTTACAAATGAGTGGATTTGCATTGCTAAATTCTTACGGCACCTTTCGAACGATCTTATATGGGGCAGCTGTGGCTTATTGGTTAGAGCAGTCGACTTCTAATTCAAGAGTTGGGGGTTTGAATCCACCAGCGGTCACATGTTGAAGTGTCCCTGGGCAAGACACTGAGCCCCTCATTGCCTCCGATGTGTCCCATCGGTATATGAATATGAAAGCACTGATTAGTCTCTACAGATTCATGTTATCTTGGTATAGATCTAGTAGAGTGCTGTATGAATGATGAGGGCACAGACTGTGTTATAAAGAACTTTGAGTGTCTTGATTAGATCGAAAGGTGCTATGTAAGTACAGTCCCTTTACCAAATGCAACTTTCAACTACTGGTATATATCATATACTTCCCTTGCTTTGTATCAAATCTTTGTTCAATTGGGTCAAAAAAAGTTTGCTCCTCGTTGGAACACGATCCACTTCAAGACTTTTAAGTTTTAAAAAGACCCTATAAAGGAGTTGTTTGAAATATGAAGGTACAAAAAGCCTAGAATGAACATCAGACAAGTACCTTTTATTATCATAAAAAAAAAATCTGTAATGCAAACCTACATCTTTGTGGCCACAAACCTATGTAAAGTGTTTATGTCCACCACCGGGTCTTTAATGATAAACACAGTTGTAGCATAAATACTGACCTGAGTTTGGAGAATTTATTAACCCCTGAAAAGTGCAACAAACATGCAAATCTAAAAATTGCTTCCATTGTAGTATGTGTTTGGGCTAGTAATACCTTCTTCTTTAACTATTTAATTTGTTCTTCCAGCTCCGTAAGGCCATTGAGGGCTCAGTGACAGTGAAAGGTGTGAAGGTGCGTCCACCCCTGGCCAGTTTCAGGGACAGCGGCACCAGCAGCAGCGAGACCGAAGCCACTGAGCTCCACATGCTGTGGGACCGTCACAAGAGTGTGTCGCTGCCTGGTGATCACAACCCGTCAGAGTCTGATGAAAAGTCCCAGTGAGAGGCAGCGGGGAGTAAAGATTGTTTGGGGAAAGAGAATGTGGAGGAAGTTCTGAAGTGTTGAAGCTCCAAAGCCACAAATATGCATAACTCCTCAGGGCAAAGAATTGATAATTTGTGGAAAGAGGTCTACTGCTACTCTCCTCAGCTGTTCCTCTACATCCTCCAGTACCATCAGTTTTCCTTCATGACCCACTTTCTCCAGGAACCTTGCACTAATCCAGTCTGACACTCCACGGGAGGAGTAGAGCACCTGCCTGTGTCCTGCTCTCCGTTTAGCCTCGAGGTCCCACAAAAGAACACATTGGTCAAGTGCAAAGCTGGGACCAGTTTAAAAAAAGGGAAGTTTTTGTTTGTGTATACGCTGAGGTTGAATCAAGTGTTGAAGTCTTCCACTTTAGTAATGACACTCCCCAGTGACGACAAACAATACTGTAATGTGTGAATGTGTGTGTGTGTGTGTGTGTGTGTGTGTTTGTGTGAATGTATGAAATGAGAAAATGTAAGTGCAAGTGACTTTATCTTAAAGTTTTTTTTACTGCCTTCAGAACACAATTTAGAGTTTGTTTCTTTAATTTTGTCCTTACAAATCAGATGGTGACTGGCACTGTCTACATGTCATCACTCTAAGAGCTTTTAATGCAACAGATGCCTAAACATTGTCGTTTCCTCTGTCCGCCACCTCTTTGCCTCTGCATCCCTACGCCTTCACTGAGAGACTTTAAGGGTCAAGTTGAGAGTGCAGCCTGTTGGCGGTGTCTGAACCAGAGATTTGTCTTTTCATGACCTGCTGTCCTTTCTTACTGTAGCTGCAGCCTTGTCAGGCACATGCAAAGAAATGTGCACAAACCAACCAGTGGTGCTCTCTGAGAGTAGCTGCTTTGTTATTCACTGGATATAGTTTTCAGTCTGCCCTCAGGGGATGGTTGAGACGGGTGAGGAGGGCAGGAAGCAAGGGAGGAAAGATGAGCAGATGAAAGGTTGAAAGAATGAAGACATTATTACCCAACGAGCTGTTTAACATGTCATCAGTCTGTAATACCAGCTCACATTCATCGCCTACACAACCCAGAAACATACAGGTAGTGACTCGCATGACCGTTGGTTGGCGTCTCAGAGTTGCAAGAAAATGGGCAACTTTCAGCTGCAGTCTTGCTGAATTCTGAATGTTTGCGACCGAGTTACCAGCACGTCGTGCGGCCATGTAGTTTTTACAAATCAGTGTTTTTCTGTGCGTTACGCAAAACTGTATCCTGCCTGCCTCAGATCGCTTTCTACCCACTTTCACATTTATGGTTTAATTTGCTACAGTACACTTTGGACATGCAGCTTTAGACTACTTTTTAAACAAACTCTTTATTATCGGCATGTTTTCTTGCACCTGGACAGAGGAGAGCTCCTGTGCAGCTCTCAGAACGCAGCTCTCGTGCTCTTAAGATGAGTCGAAGATGCCTGCACCAAAAGTTTGACAGACTCTATTTTGAGACAAACGTTGTCGCACAGATTTTTTAAGCTAACTTGACTAAAGAACCACTGAGCATAAGTAGAAAATGTAACTGATAAAGGAAATCAACAACTGACCAACAGACTTTATACTAATTTTCTTCAGACAAATTCAAGAAAGTAGATCTGCTGACACAAACTCATGGCTTAAAGCAGCACAGTTTATTTTTCCTGACACAACAAAAAAACATAAACTATGCTGTATTTACTGCTCCACGGCTTCCATGATGCTTGTCAGTCTTCTACATATTGACAGTAATGACTTGTCCTGACCCTTTTATCTTGTCAAGTATTCCAGGTGCAGGTTCACGCTACAGTTTTGAGGCCTTATAGACGCTCCAAACTTTGTTGCCATGTGCAACACTGAGTGGGTTTGCTGAAGCTTGCACAGGCGTCAGAGAAGCAGCATGACTTTGCATGAGGCAGTGCATGTTGCATTTTTTATATGATCAAACTGTACCAAACAAAAATGAATATTGGACATGGGAATGATGTAGGTTCACCATGTTGTGCCTATAATTCTGATATTCAGCATTTCTCCGATACGTTTTATTCATTGCCTGATTTTTGAATGGGGTTCGGGGCGTTTGTGTTGAGAAACGTACAGCTTAATATATGTCATTTCTGTAATATAAAATCATGATTTAATGTCTTAACCAATCCCTACTTGTTGACTGTTCTCTTTTTTTTTTTTTAAAGAGAATTTGGACGTTATGTATTTGTTATATATTTTGTCACATTTTGATGATTTAAAAGTTGATTGGCATGATCATTAATATTTTTAAATTTAACATGCTGTCTGAAACATTTCAACGATTATTACGTTTGTTGGTAAAGTGCTCATGACACTAACGTGCGTGGTGAAGCAGAAGAACCGTGACTGTGACGTTCATTTTGAAGGCATCGACCCGTTCATTCTACAAGTGCCTCTTTTATCAGTGAGAAAAAGCAATTGACACCCAAGTGTCCGCAGCTAGTTTTCTCCTCATACACATGCAGACAAGGCACTTTACACACACACACACACACACACACACACACACACACACACACAGAGAGAGAGAGTAAAAGGAAAGAGATGACGTTTCACAGCGGCACGTCATTGTCACCATGGAAACCCCGGTGTCTTCTCGCCCCGGGGACTGACTACGATCTACTGATTTGTTCATTTGTGCTTTTTATTGATTTTCGTCGTTGTGCCGGATCCTTTTCACGTTGCTGCCGATGATTCATCTCATTTTCTTTCAGACGGACATGAAGCGAGGTAGCTGCGTCTTCATCGGTCTGAAATAATCAAACTGGAAGTTTTATTTTTGTGTGTTTTGTTGATTTGCCTGTGGGTAATCAGTCTGTGCAATAACAGTTGTTTGTCTTATTTTGTAACCATGTTTTAACTGATGATATGACTGGAAGATAACCTTATTTTTGTAAATAAACCTGAAAGGAGTTCAACAGTTTTCTGAGATCCTGAAGCTCTGTCTGTGTGATGAAATGAATTAATTCAAACTTTATTTAGACAGGTTAATCCCATTGAGCCTCTGGGACTCATTTACAAGAGAGACCTGATAAATTACTATTATAGAATTTAGTTAAAATTACTATTTGAAAGAAAAGGTTTTCCAAAATCCTCCATAAAAGCAAAGTAAAATCAGCTTTATACAACACCAGTTTAGGAAAAAGTTGGGGCATTGTGTAAATAAAAACAATGCAATACTTTGCTCGTTTTATTAACCCATATTTTTTCACAATAGAAAAAAATAACTATGCCATGTTGAAACTAAGCAATGCTTATTTTTTAATTTTGTTAAAGACGGGAGCTGGCTGCGGACCCCCGGATCCGGAAACCCCCTCCAGCCCACGTCTTTGCCCCTGGCTCGAACCTCCCTCAGAAGTGGCAACTCATGCTAACAAATAAATCAAGGAAACGTCAATTAAGTTTTATCAATTATATTAGAAAAGGCAGGAAAAGATTACAATTTCACAGCGCTGGACTCTATACAGTGTGTGACACATTCACAGACCCGGAAGAAGAGCCCCGATGTCTCATGTCATTATTAATTTATAGGGTCCTAGACTCCGCCTTTCGCAGAAGGGGAGCTCAGTCTATCGGTGTATGAGGGGGCGTAGCTAAGTGTCGTCTTATGTGGACTGACGTGTTAGGAAATATGAAACGGTGCTTCAAAGCCTTTCTACGTGATGTGGCAAGCAGATTAAACTATTCCTTGACTGATATTGAAATCCCTGGGAGACTCTCTTTAGAGTTGCTGGCCCAGTTTAACCCAGTCAGAACTGGGTCATAATTTCATTATAATCCCGTCTCTGAGCAGATCAAAACCATAGGACCAGTCTAAATAAGAAATATCGTAACAATTTTTAGTAGTAGTTTTGAATTTGATGGCATGAATATGACATTTGGGACAAAGACAACAAAAGGATTTAGAAACAACAAGAGGAGCATTTCCCAACTAATTAAGTTAATTATGAACAAACAGGTCAGAGGACTTTAGAGAGGCTGAATCTTTCAGAAGTGAAGGTGGGCATAGGTTCACCAATCTGCAGAAAGCTGCTTCTAAAAGTAGGAAACCTGTTCAGAATTAAGTTCAACTGAAAATTGAGAAGACTTTAGACCAGACCTGGGCATTGTACGGCCCCAGGGCCACATGCTGCCCTTTGGTCGACTCTGACCGGCCCCCATAAGGGAATTACAAAACAAACATTTTCTAATTTTACCTCATGCGTGCACTAAAGCTGCATTGCTTTTATTTTGAAGGGTTTTTTAAATTCACATACAAAATGATGCAATACGTAAATCAAGGCATGCGCATGATTGAATTGTTGTCACGAGCAGGTCACAAGACGTTAGTCCTCAAAAATGTCCACTAATGCTAAAAAAAAAGAAAAGTAGATGCCGAGTGCAGGGTTTTCAACATAAATGGACTGCTAAATATTTATTTACTGAAGTTGGAGGTAGAGCTGTGTGTTTAGTTTGTGGAGAGCAGTATGCCTCCAGTGCCCTCACCGGGCACAATAATCCAGACCCCTCACCAGGTATAGACTGAAAACATGCCAGCCTCAACGGTTGGTTACAGTGAACGTGAGATAACACCTTTGGTACAAATGCAATGTTTGGCCGCAATGTAACACAAGAGCCCTCAGGGCCCCACATGAGACATGAGGGGCTGACTGAGAGAGCATGTAGCTCGTTGACCCTCTTTGCTGAGGCAATAGCCAACAAAAAAGCCGTCTTACTTGAAAGCCACTTGAGGTCCGCCTGCATCAGAGGCTCGAAAGGAGAGCGGCACAGAGCTTTGAGAACCAAGGGCAGGTCCCAACCTGGTGCTCGTGGAGCTGTCGGCGGTGTGACCCACGGGCACCACGCAGAAAAAGAGAGACTAGATTATGGCTCCCTACCGTACAGCCATCAATGCCAGCGTGATTAGATGATATGGCCACTACATAAACTTTAATCGTCAAAGGAGAGCAACCCTTACCAAGGAGAGACTGGAGAAACTCCAGAATGGTGTGTACTGTACAGGAGACTGGATCCTCGTTGTGATCAGAACACCATTGGGAAAACAGATGCCACCTGTTTTTGTACTGCTGACGAGTAGAGGATGCTCTGGCACCCAGGATGGTACGTCTGACGGGGATCGAAACTCCAGTCAGCTGCTGTCCTAGCCTTGCAGTGGCCACACCTACAGCCGAAGACGTTGAGGATTGGGGTGCCATATCAATCCCCCCAACTGAGACAGCAAGACTCTCCTGGCCGGAAGACACCATGGGATGCCCTGACATAGACTTCGTAGCAATGGGAACCATGGTCGCGCTGGCCAATATGGAGCCACCAGCAGTATCCTGT